AATAACTCAGGATTGGGGAAAGCCAAAACAACAAACAAAACCTAAACAGCTAACTTTATTTTAAAACCCTCTTACCTACAAAAAATAAAACATTAAATAAAAATAAACTTACCTCCCTACTGACCACAAAACAAGAGAAAATCTAAGTAAACAAAGTGCAACCTCCTCCCCACTTTTGTCTTTGTACAGTGGTCTGAAGGTTTACAATCACTCAACATTACTGCTGAGCATCAGGTTCAAGTGTCAAAAGAAAAAGAAAACTATAATCAAGCCGGGAGAGAGGAGACTCTCCATATACGAATGTCCAGCCAGGTTTTAATGGGCTCCAGAAGCACGCCAGCGGGTTCTTATGACATCATCTGGATTTACCTCACCTGTGTGCAATTACCAGACCTGTAGGAGAGAAGGGAACCACAACAACAAAACTGAAAACACAAAATAAAACTTTTAACACACTTTTTTTCTAAAGTTACATAACATTTCTTAAATATTTAAGAATTGCAGAAAATCTTGCTTTAAAGCTCGGTTTATATAAATGACTCTTACTTGTGCTACCTTGCCACTAAAGTTTAATTGTCTACGACTGTTTGTTAGTTGCATGCAATTAGGGTGCTTTCACACCTCAACATTTGTTTTGGAACCTGTCTCGTTTGCTCAGGTGGCACGGTTCATTGGCATATGTGAATCCCACAATCACACTCAGGCCCCGTTTACACTAGTACGTTTTAGTTTTAAAACGGCGTTTTAGAATGAAAACGATCCGCGTCCACACTCGCGTTTTACCCAGCGTTTCTGAACTGCTCTCCGTCCACACCAAAACGCTGAAAACGCACATCACGTGACCACACAGACGCTCTCGGGCAAGCGCTGCAGCCCATGTACCCAGATGAGAGCTCTGCTAGTCGGACTTCTCATCAAGCATCTCCCGCTGGATCTAATCTCACTATATTTATTAAACGGGATATTTCATTCATCTTGTTGTCTTTATCTAACGACATATTCCCTGACTTTGGGCATTGGAATCTATTACTTGTTCTCAGGTAACGTGTTTTGGCTGAGCGCAAAGATAAGTTAATGATTAATGTAACCACGTCCATTCTGTATATTGACTGATCGCTTGCCTTTATTTCCTATAATGTATAAACTTATTGTATGTTATACTTTTAAAATGGCCATTATCGATTCTTAAAACTGATATTCAGCAAAAGAGAGGGTGTGTTTCGTATTTTCACTGAAATTGAAAGGAGGCAGTTGTTATCGGCTCCGTTTTGTTATAAATATCCAGACAGTGAAGATGACGCTCATCTTATGCAGCACGGCGCCTCAACATGTCTGCTGTCTAAGTTGCTAATATTAAAATGAAAATAGGCAGTTCCTTAAATCATGTTTACATTTTATTGTTGAGAAAGTGAAACAACGAAGCCAGGGTGATGTGAATGAAGTTATAAAGTACACTGTTCCCTTTGAAGATTTACCCGTGTCCTCGGTATAGTCTGCTTTTCCATATCAAACTGAGAAGAAGAGACTGCAGCCTTGATCAAACTTGCGAAGTCTGAACTTACACGGAGAAGATTCAGGACTGAACTGTGTGTTAGGCTACTTAATATTCAGGAAAAGCCCCAATCAGAGAGGCGAACGTCTGCAGCCCCGCCTCCGTTTTCAGATGTCTCCGTTTTCCATCATCCACACTGAGACGGAGCAGCAGCGTTTCAAAATGAAAACGGCCTCTCCAGCGTTTTCGAAACGCTCCGTTTTCGGCGCTCGACAACTCCGGCGTAGTGTGGACGGTTGGCGTAACCGTAGCAAAACTTATGCGTTTTCAAACTAAAACGCATTAGTGTAAACGGGGCCTCAGATCCGCGCCAACTCAATCAGTCCAATATTGCCTGAATGAGGTGGTGCTCTCGGCTTGATTGAAATGAACTGAATTGAGATGATCTGCATCATGATCTGACTGCAGTCTCACTTCATCTGTTATTTTTCTCTATAATTCAAATGTAAAATGCAGAATTGTAGCTGATGTTTTTTTTTTTTTTTTTAGATTAAATAATTCAATAGATAGATTTTTACAAAATTTGACAACTGAAATAAGGCTATGTATGAGAGTCTTACCTTTCTGATTTATATTTTGTGATTGTGGGTGTCAAAATTAAAGTGCAGACTTTCGCTTATAATATATATATATATATATATATATATATATATATATATATATATATATATATATATATATATATATATATATATATACACATACATACATACATACATACATACATACATACACACACACACACACACACACACACACACATTTTATTTTTCTAATTTATTTATTTCACAATTGTAATTGTCAACTGTATTAAAAGAAAGAGTTATGCTGAATAAAAGTGCATGTATACAATTATGTTTGGCTTTTGACAGATTATTTAAAATATGTGGCTAAGAAATAGCTATTAACTTCTCTTTTCTGGTGGGGCCAGTGTAAATTTTGTCAGGGCAAGTAAAAATCTGAACCACTGGCCCAATTGAGCCAATAGAAAAATTCCTTAGTGTTGAACCCTGGGTAATTTACTTCATTTTAATCATGACTGTAGACATCAGTGTTTATATCTGATCAATGAACTCTAATTCTGTGTACTTATGCAATGTTTGTATCAGAGAAAAAAAATGATACTGTTAAATGAAAAGATTATTTATAACTACTACTCTTTCTGTCAGTGGGAACATGCACATAGGTCATAATGTGAAACTGTGATCAAACTTGTCAAAGGTTTAATTTATGTGAGTTACTGTTTGCGAATGGATAAGAATGTGTGGCTGTTTGAATTGAGATCGAATTTTTCAATGTCAACACATTGTATTATTGAAACAGTGTTATTAAAATGATTGATTTAAATATGGAAGAAGAAGATAATATTAAAAGAAGAATCAAATATTACAATTAAGCATGTAACGATTCACCTGACTAACGATTCGATACGATTCACAATGCCAATTTCACAATTCATGATTTAGTCAATTTTTTTACAAAATTATTTGAAACTAAATTCAGAGCCCTTTAATTTTTTTCTTAAATGCTGAACATTTATTAATTAATTACATTAAAATTATATATTTTGTACCACAACTCAATTTCTATTTAAAAAAAAATGATAATAGAAACAAAAGAAGACTCTTTAATATAGACACACTAAAACTGACTGTGCTGGGATTTTAAATAAAAGAAAAAAGAAATATCAGAATATCTATGTTTTCAGGCATGAGCTGAGGTCTTTGCACGTTTTACAATGTGTTTAAAAATTGCTGATAAAAAAAAACTCTTTTACTGGTGCTGCCTCTGGTCAAAAAAAAAAAAGTGCAATTCGTTCAACATTTATACCGGTTTGAATCGTCACATACATACATACAAACATACATACATACATATATATATATATATATATATATATATATATATATATATTTTTTTTTTTTAATTATTATTTTTATTTATTTATCATTTTACAGTATAACAAACAACACAATTGACAAAAAGAATATTCAGCATTAAGTGTAGCATCAGAGTATACAAATATAGAAACATGCACATCAACAAATCCAGTTTATGTTACTAGATAAAACAGAAATCAAACAACAGCTTGTGAATGGTCAGTATGATAACAATGGGTATTATGCAGGCTCAGGTCAAAGGGTTCATAAAGAGTCAATAAAAAATTTCCAGGTTTTTAAAAATATGTGTGTTTTGTTTTTTAGGCTATATGTTAAATATTCCAAATGCAGCATGTCATTTATGATATTTTTAAATAATTCAAATGTTGGAGTGAGTTCCTGTTTCCAGTTTAACAGAATACATTTCCTAGATACATAAGATCCTTTTGGTAAAAAAAAGGGTCTGATACCTCATTCAAGTCTACCTCAAAAAGATATATTAAAGGAGTCTTGAGATATTTCTTTCCCAGGATCATCATAGAAAACTTATGTACAGAATCCCAAAACTCATTTAGTTTTTTACAGCTCCAAAAAATATGCATAATGGTGCCCTTATGTTTCTTACATCGTTTACATAAAGATGAAACACCGGGATAAATCCTACTAAGGCGAACTGGGGTCAAATATATTCTTTGTATAAATTTGTAATTTTGTTCAATCATCACATATTTTAATCGATTTTCAACTAACTCATGGTGAATCATTACATCCTTAATTACAATGAATCCAGTGTGAATGTTTGTAAGCGGAAGCTAAAGTGAGTGAACACCTTTTATTTTAACGACTAATTATGCAATTTATCCATGTTTTCATTACAGCAGGAAAAATGTCAAATCAATAAGTGTGTTTACATGCACTTAATGCCAGTATAATATAATTTTGCAATATTGCAATTAAACCTCACATAATTGCTGTGATTCTTTCTAAATAAGTAGCCATAAATCGTATAAACATAGCTGCCACCAGTCTCTGCTCCCTCATCCACAAACAGCACATAGACTGTGACGGCAAACAAATTCAGCTCACATGCTGAAGAAAATCATGAAATACAATCTTACAAAGTGTTTTGCATTAGTCGTAAATAGAAAAAGTGTTCCTGAACACTGTTTAACTTTAAGTCCATTATTTGTGCTATAAAGTGAAGTATGTTAGTAACATCAATAAGAATAATAACTACAGTTCCTAGGGAATAATTTGAATAATGGGATTTGCATGTAAACAGGATTGAAGAGCTTTGAACCTGACATGTACCCATTTTATTGCGATTAAGACCCTAGTCTGATTATTGGAAATAATAGCATTATTTGTGTGTCTGTTAACATAATCACTGTTATAAGACTCCAATTTATCACACATTTAAAATGGAGTCCAGGTGACATTTAAGGGACTGAAATGAATGAATATGACTTTATAAAATTGCTGAAAGTTGAAAGAATATTTTCATTTAAAAAAAGGATAAAAACAGTCCATTATGGCTAACTTTACTAACATATTCCTTCTTATTCTAGGTAATGCCAACATTGCAGCTAAAGAGGCTGTGGCTAGGTGGACGGGTAAGTCATTTGCATACCTCACACCTCATGTTAGATCATGTGATGCATCCATGAAGGCCACAGACAAATCCTGACAATCCAGTTCTGTCAGATCATTAATAGATCAGACCAGGCTGATTTTAGATCTCCACCTACATTGTTTAATATTCCAACACATATAGTTGTCTCAGCCTGTCTTTCATCTAACAAAATAAGCTATTCTGTAGATTGAAACATACCCCTCATGTCAGTCTGTAAGTAAAATGCACGCAAAGATGATCTCTGTTAGGTTTTCTCAAAATGTGGTGTGGTTCAGATATGCTGTTGATATCTGTTAATTAACAGCTTCCGTATTTTGGGCTCACAAGTAAAACACTTGTGAATCACAAGCACAGAAACTATTAATTGATTTACAGGTGTTTTTAGTTTATATATGGTGGTGAATTGCATTATGGGACCCTGATCCCTGCTTTGTCGACTTTTGATGTTGAAAAGTCAACTCTACACTTCAACAAAGTGGCTTTTATAGGCATTTTAAAAGTAGTTAATAATATGTATAAGAAATAATATAGAGCGAAATAAGTGTGTAAAATAACACAAAATGTACTGGCGGTTCATATACATATACAGTTTATATATACATACATACATACACACACACACACACACACACACACACACACACACAACACCACCCCAGACAATGTGTCACTTGAAACAATTAAAAATTTCATTTTTATTTTTACTTTTCAAGGTTAAAAGTTCTTGGAAGAAAGATCAAGGTCCCATAATGCAATTCAAATACATAAATAAACGGGGAAAAATAAAAACATGAATCACAAACTACGGAAAACTGCTAATTTACAGATTTTTTTTGCTGTGTGGCCTGAAGGTCCAGTCCTGTTTGCAGCCGAGTAAAATAAACTTGGATGTTTTTATAAGTCCTGACTCAGGCTGTGCAGCACAAGCCCTCGGTTATTCCCAGGCATGAATTTTCTGGAATGTAGCAGACACAGACATGCACACCACTTAACTTCAGGATGGAAATTCCTTTATGCATTTTGTGAACGTACGTAACTACAAAAGTGGTCTCAGATGAGCAGCGTATGAAAACACTTGGTGCTGGCATGTTGGGGGAAAACACAGACATGCGAAACGGGAAGGGTTTAATGTTCTGTTTACATTTAACAGATCAGATTTCAGACAAGAGTCAGATGCAACATACACTGCACACTAGGCAAGCGCAAACACATGTAGATTCCAGTATATCAGTGAGTGATCTCATAGATGAAATGGGTACACTCATATGATGATTTGCTGTATCTTGCCTCGAAACCACACGCTTGCACAAACCTGATAAAATCTGTAGATTTAATACAATGGATGACTGGGTCAATTTATACGCTGTAAAAATGATTGTAATTGTTTTTGTTTGAATATGGACTTTTTCAAAAATGTGAACCCCATATCAGCCCCGGTCAGATTACACGATTTTGGCAGGATTTTTTTGACGTTGGCTGTCGTAGAGATTCGTAAAGGACAAATAGACATCATGACACAAGATTCAATCGTTTATTCTCGTGTAATTTGGCATAGTTCACGACAACCGATCCCATTCCTGCGACGCCTCACAACATCGTCGCAGAAAGTTTAGCATGTTTAATTTTTTCTCATTCTTTACGAGTTTCACCACATGACACTCGGCCCAATAGGAGCACATAATTTATCAGTTAATTTAGTGGGTGCTGCTGTTAATGAGCTGGTCAGGTAATCAAAAAACAGGCTGCATATTTACAGATGGGTTGGTCACGGGTGGATATGACCAGTCATTGGCTATGCAAACTTTTACTACTTTCTCTAAAATATGAAAGGGTTTTAAGCAATTTTATTTGACAGACTGGCACAAATATGCCGACATCTCCATTCTGAATTCTCTCTTCCAGGGGCACCAGCAGGATTTACGCACATATCAAAGTAAACAAGAATAACATCTGAGATGAAGTGCTTCAAAACCAGTCCGCTATAGCCTATGCTTCAGCGCCAAAACACAAACCGGTTTGTTCTAGCCTAAATATAATCTAGCCTAAATAAAATTAGGTGAAATATTCATAGTTTTAGAGAAGCCTATATTAAAGTGTTTGTGACTGTTAGTGACAAAACCATCTGTTGTGCCGGTAAATTACAATTTAATTCGTTTAATCAAGTATTTTTTTTTACTGCAGGCGACACTGCTCTCATCTTTCCAACAGAGTTTGTTCTAATAAAAGCCTGTCCTGCTTATTCTAATGTGTCATTAATAGTAACAGTTTAATATAGGCTTCTCTGAAACTGTGAATATTTAAATTAAATTTTATTTAGGCTAGATTATTATTATTTCAACACACCAACACAATCTCAGGGCAAATGTTTAGGTGCTAAAGCCTATAGTGGACTTGTTTTGAAGCACTTTACTTCAAAGGTTATTTATTATTCTTTTTTATCTAGCAGTTAACTGACCAACGAAAAATACATAACAATTAAGATACAAATTATAGCTAAGAAAAATCGTTTCAAAAAGATCTTTTTTTTTTCAAGAAACATATATGAATTATATTTTTGATTTTGCCTGTCCAACTGTGCGGTGATGATTTTTTCCACTCCGTGGAAAATAAGGATTTAATTAATTCTTCACTGCTTCACAGCTGCTGATGTTCTTTCATTTCATGTTCAGTCAAGGGAGTGTTTAATAGCAACATTGACAGAAAAATATACATTTAGATTTCAAAGAAAATATTATTGATATTAAAAAGGAAACATAAAAGTTTGATCCTATCAATGTCATAACGAATGCCTTGTAAATAGATATTAGTTGTCAGCCAGCATCAGTGTTTATTGAGATTGAAGTTAATTAAATTAAACTGAGATAATAAATATTGTTATAGCAACACTCCAATACACCACTTATCTCATTTTTGATTGCGACTTGTAAATAGCATTTAAGTCCTTGTCCTTTTGTATGAGCCATTTTCCAAAACTTTAAACACACCTGACTCTTCATTTAATAAACACTTTATTCACGACACACACTCTGCCAATTTGAATTCAATTAAGTCATAAGTTATAACATACAACTTGCTGGAAAAATATATTTCAAATTGCATGTTGCATTTAGTAGGCCTATTGGCCTAAATCAGCTTTTGCATCAATAAATTCATAATCATTATTTTGCCGGTGCAATTTTTATGCACACGCTTGAGCGCGGAATAGGATATATCTATATCTATATCTATATATATATATATATATATATATATATATATAATTCTGCATCTATCGTGGCTACTTCCCTGCTAAAAAAGGAATCATAAGTTTGATCCTATCCTAACGAATGCCCTTAATTTATGTAATTAGTACTCTGCAGGCATCAGTATTTATAAAAAAAAAAAAAAATTGAAATTGAGATAAAAAAAAATATTGTTATAGCAACATTTGTGACTGCAAATGTTCGTCATAGATGTCACAGAATGACTGATCATGAAGGAACGTGTAATCTGGCACATTTGCTACCCACGACAAGTCAAGATTTTATTAAAAAAAAAAAGGCATGATCTGACAAATTGACTTTCTTGACAGACAATAAAAATCGTGTGATCTGACCTAGGGCTGGGCTGGGTGATATGGCAAAAATGCAATCTTGATAATTCTTTTCCATATTGAACGATAAGGATATATATTTCGATGCAAGATGTTAATGCTTCCACAACAATGTATGTAATGTATCACAACAATGACAATGTATCAACAATAGCAATGACAATGTATCACAACAATGACTGAAGCCACAAAGACTAGACACTTCATTAAAAAACATTTTATAGTATTGTTTGTTAACAAAACAGCGTACATATTATCCATATAATTTTTTAGAGATTTCGATTTTCTGTAATATACTTATAATATATTATTCTGTAAAACACAATATAAAATATAATATTCTGAAAAACTGTAACTGACAGCTCATATACAGTAGCATATCTCTAATATCAACACAATTACAGATTCCTGTTGCCATATATGTTTTTCCTGGTTTATACTCGACACGTTCATTAGTTCACTTGAGTGTGCATGGAAAGAATGTGATGTCATCGAGATGTTTGCGCAGGTTTGCTTTGGGTGCGCGTAACATGATTTCAGATGGCGGAGCAAACAAAATTTTTGAGACTCAAGCAAACCGTCTCATTTGAGTTGAATATGAATCACTTTAAAGAGATTTTGTCTGAAACAGGTACGCTTGTACAGACATCTTTTTGATCCATCCATGCGTGAACAGAGATAACCAGATAACCAATAATTCTTGGCTAGAAATTGCGACAGTGGGAAAGGAGGAAAGTTTTTGTTAAAAAGTATGTTAAAGCCAAAAGATGCCATGGCAAAAGTGGAGACTTAGGTAAACAATTACAGAAATATGTTTTTCTACCATTTATAGGTTTAACGCTGACGTATGTATTACAGTTTTGAATTTAAAACAAATTTTCAAACCTATAATTAAGGAACAAATTTCTTTGATAACTGGAAAGCAATATTTCAACCTATTGCTTTACAATACACTGATGCCCTGTTTTTCTAGGCTTTATTGGTGGTGATGGTCAGGAATGTCAGACCAGTATTGCCTATTTAGCATATAAGTAGAGAAACAGAAACTAACCAGACAGTAATGTGTCAATTGTGAACCCGGGCAAAATCACAAAAATATCGATATTGTTAAGTGAGTGTACATTGTTTTGCTTTTTTTATTCTTGCCATAATAATAAAAAAAAGTTTGTAGAGAAACCCATGTTGCCTTGTCATTAAAATTTTAATAAAGCTTAATAGGTAAAACTGTCCGAGATATGAACAAAAGCAAGTAATGCATCTAAGTTTAAAATAAATCTTGAATGGTTATAAAAATCTTTATAATCATTCAAATAATTTAAAAGTGAAATTTCACAAACTGATTTTGAGAGAAGCATGTGATATGATTGATTGTGGCTGGTCTCTCATCTATAATCATTAGTAAGCCAATCGGATCATTCCAAACTCATTATAAATAGCCTGACTAACATAACTCTCTCATCTTCTTTTTTCGAAAATTCCCTCCATTCACCCCATCTCCCCTTTTCTTCCTTTACCAGGGGGAACTTTTGGGAACTACCTGATCTCATACCTCCTTACATGCTCATTGACCAGGCAGGAGCCCTGGGCTCATCATTTATCTCCAAGCTCAGGGTTCTCTCCTGGGACAGCATGCCAAACCTGCTATTATTATCAGCAAGCAATATCCTAGTCTAAACTCAATATACTAATTAAAATAATTAGTTAAGAAATCTTCAATAATATTAATGATATGACGTAGTTCTGGAAACTTTCTACTTTTCTGGTTATCCGTCTTATTTAACGGTCAGTTTCTTTTGACCGCCCCCTGTAATTTTAAAGTATATTACAACGGCAAACGTGTCAAGTCTAAAAGCCTTGTCTGCTGTGTGGCAACAGGCGAAAGTATAAATCATCCTTGATTGGCTCTTAGATCAACATTAAGTAAAAATATCCAGAGCTTATCATAGTCATCGACATGAATTTTATTATGATTTGATATGATATCGTTTATCGGCCCAACACTAGTCTTATATTATGGTGTCATGCGATTTCTTGGTACATGAATGTAAATGTAGGGATTGATGGGCCATTGAATTATTACAAAATATAGCACAGCCAAGGTTGTTGTTGATCCAGCCACAAAACTAACAATGTGTTTTTTGTTTTTAATATTTCAATTATTCCACTAATGTTACTAGTAGACACCTTCAAAGATTGTTCAGATGTTGTATTTCAAGACACTCAAACTGATAGTGTGTGGGGCTAGTTTTTTAAGCATCTCATCCAAAGTGTTTGATTTGATTTTTGACATGTTAGCTGTGAAAGTGTGTGAAGTTAAATTGTAATGTGTTTCCAACTGTAATGTTTAACCATTTTCCCCTGCAAAAACTCAATTTAATAAAAATAAAAATATATATATAATTAATAAAAAAATTGAAACGTTTAAAAGTTTTATTTTCTCTTATTTTAATTGATATAATTGTTAATAAAACTATTTGTTTAAATGCACCAACATTATAAGCTATATTCACTGAGAAATGGATAGAAATATTAATTTCAAAAGGGGTGTACTTTTAGTTAGAAACTGAAAGGTTAATTACTGTTTATCTTACCCTGAAATTAATTAGTGTAATTTATTTTTCTGTATTTATTGCAATTAAATAAATGCATAATAAACACATATGACCATCTAGAAAATGCAATTGTGTAGTTGTCTTAAGTTTTCTGAGGTTAATTTAACATCATCAAAATTATGTAGTTAATAATTAGAATGTGAAAAAAAAATTTCAGAATATTGAAATATTCAGACTAAGCATTAACCTAGTTCTTCAGACATAAATTAAGATGAAAAAGTTGTTTAATTTGAGTATGTTAAGAGGACAAATGCAAAGCTCGGTTGTGGCTGGCTAAATCTTGTCAGAAACAGAAGTAAATTAGCAAAAACCTAAATTCTTCCAGCTTTTTATTTGAGGAAGTCACTAAGATCTCATAACAAACCACAAAACAACCAGTAGAAACATTCTGTTCATGTTGTGCTTGCGATGGAGGTTGTGGTTAATTAACTATTTATTTTAGTTTGTTCATTGAAAAGCAGGATTAATTGTCATAGTTAGATCAAGACACTCCTTACTACACACAGTTTGCAGTCGCTGAGGGAAGAAAGCCTCCTGTCAGATATGTTAATGAGTTTCATCTTTAGCACACAGTGTCAGCTGTAGGCCAATCACAACAGACCGAGCAATCTAACCAATCAGACCAGAGTAGGGGGGTTTAAGAAGAACCATTCATCAAATAATTCTTTGAGAAATTTGCTGATTTTAAAAGTTTATTATGTGATAATGAGCATGGTTTAATAATTAAACAACTTTTCAAATGCAACATCTGTATGACTTTTTTTGTGCATCCTATATACCTCTATACATATTTTGTGTGTTTTTTGTTTCACATTTTTCTCCCCAGATAATGTTTTTGCAATCAAATCCTGGGCAAAGAGGAAGTTTGGTTTCGAGAACAGTCGATTGGACAAAGCTTTTGGAATACCAGAGGACTTTGACTACATCAACTAACCAACAATTCACAGCCTGATGGACCTTCTGATTGTGTTCAGCACTGCACAATCAATAAGCTTTATTCTTTTGCATCAGTTTGTATCAGTTCTGCATGTTCGAGACAAAGCTGTAAACAATTTTACACTGTTGTGCATGGTGTAAATTCTAAGGAGTGCCCCACCCTTGAAATTTTAACCTGGTCTAGTACAAGGCAAACTTCAAGATTGATTTGTCAGCATAAAAGGGTAAACGATGGTGAAAACGCTCCTGGTGTGTAAGTGGAGAAGGTGTTGTGTTAACCCTTGGCTACTCAGAGACGCACTATATGCCCAGACTTACTCTTAGGCCACCTGTTGAGAGAAAACTGAGATTTCCAGATACCGCTGGGATAATGAATTGAGCGGCATGTCGAAGTTCACTTCAAGGAAATTAATCACATGGTAGAGAATGGAAGGTGTACATAATTGTTGATGGAGGAAAAAAATATGTTGACAAAAGTATGGATTTGTGTTTGTATAAAATAGGAATGTGCTAAAGAGATAGAGTCATTTCAAATGTTTATATGCTTCTGTTGGTTCAAGTTTTTTTTATTTGCATGTTTGGTTTCATTAGTGCACCCTTTCCCCCTCCACAGTGTACATTTTTGTGTATCTTCTCAATGTAAAAAGTGGTCAATGACTAATGATCTAATATGGGTTAATAAATGTTGTGTTATCAAGCATATTTGTATTTAAGTATACATTAAATTGATTGTCCTATTGATTTAAAACATTGTAGCTGCATTTTTAGATATTGTATACTGCATTTTAGATGCCAAAAAAATAGCTACCCTCAAAATAACTTTTTAAAGATACATACATACACTCACCGGCCACTTTAGTAGGTACACCTCACTAGTTCTGAGTTGGACCCCTTTTTGTCTTCAGAACTGCCTTAATTTTTTGTGGCATCAATTCAACAAGGTACTGGAAATATTCCTCAGAGATTTTGGTGTATATTGACATGATATCATCACACAATTGCTGCAAATTTGTTAGCTGCACATCCATAATGAAAAATCTCCTGTTCCACCACATCCCAAAGGTGCTCTATTGGATTGAGATTTGGTGACTGTGGAGGCCATTTGATTACAGAGAACTTATTGTCATGATCAAGAAACCAGTCTGAGATGTTTTATGCTTTATTACATGGTGCGTTATCTTGCTGGAAGCAGCCATCAGAAGATGGGTACACTGTGGTCATAAAGGAATGGACATGGTCAGCAACAATACTTAGGCTAGGCTGTGGTAGGCTGTGGCGTTGACACGATGCTCAATTGGTACTAATGCGCCCAAAATGTGCCAAGAAAATCTCCCCACACCATTACACTACCACCAGCCTGAACCATTAATTTAAGGCATGATGTATCCATGCTTTCATATTGCTGATGCCAAATTCTGACCCTACCATCCGAATGTCACAGCAGAAAACGAGACTTATCAAACCAGACGTTTTTCCAATCTTCTAATGTCCAATTTTGGTGAGCCTGTGCAAACTATATCCTCAGTTTCCTGTTCTTAGCTGAGAGAAGTGGCACTCAGTGATGTCTTCTGCTGCTGTAGCCCATCCGCCTCAAGGTTGGACATGTGCATTCAGAGATGCTTTTTCTTCGTACCTCGGTTGTAACGACTGGTTATTCAAGTTACTCTTGCCTTTCTATCAGCTTGAACTAGTCTGGCCATTCTCCTCTGGCATCAACAAGGTATTTGTAGCCACAGAACTGCCACTTAGTAGATATTTTCTTTTTTTTAGATTCTGTAAACTTTAAAGATGGTTGTGCATGAAAATTCAAGTAGATCAGCAGTTTTTGAAATACTCAGACCAGCCCTTCTAGCACTAACAACCATGTCACGTTCAGTCATTTAAATCACACTGCTTCCTCATTCTGATGCTCGGTTAAAACTGCAGCAGATCCTCTTGACCATGTCTAAATGCATTGAATTGCTGCCATGTGATTGGCTGATTAGAAATTTGCATTGACGAGCATTTGGTCAGGTGTACCTAATAAAGTGGCATGTGAGTGTGGAGTGGCATGTAAAAAATTGTTATATGACTGACAGATTCTGTCTCAAAACCAAAAAACTTGGTATCATTAAAAAATGTGCATTTTAAAATATGTTTACAATTCCATTTCTATAAATGACAAAAAAATATCCACCAGTTTTCTAACCAAACAAGTATAGGTACATTACCTTTTCATTCCCCCCTTACCGTGAAGCTTGCAGGACAGAAGATGTTTGCTCTCGGGTGTAGATGTATTGTCGGGCTCTAGTGGGCGCACACACTCGCAGAGGTTCTGCCGAAAGAGAGACAGACAGAGACAGAGGAGGGAGGGTGAGAGAGAGAGAAAGAGAAAGAAGTGAAGCCAGGGAGCTCAACACAGCCAGCATGGCGAGCCAAAGGGACTTCACACACAGAAAAACATGGATTAATGTTCTCCTGCGACTCTTACAGCTCTTATTGCTTTACATTCAGCACGGAGGAGCTCAGTTTCAAGGTGCGACGGACCGATGCGTCTTGTTTTTTGAGTTGACGAATGCAGCGCGAGTGTGAAAAATGTCGGAGGAACTGAACTGTCGAGAGCTGATTTGACAAGTATTCAAGTGCGCTCGCAATGCTAAACGGCCACAATGTTCACCGTATCGATCTATTCGAGGCGGCTTTTCGCATATCTGCATAGGGATTCGTGTTTAGATTTAAATCGCAAGAAAGACGGTTTAAGCTGTTTTGGACAGCTGCTGGTTTTGTTCGATTTCCTGTGTCAATGCAATATGCTACAAAGCTCACATCGCCTCATACAGCTGTTTTTCACTGCAGTCTATAGGAACTAAGCGCATTTGCGTTGTCGCAACGTTTAACGCGACTTAAGAGCGGCGTAAACGCACATTTAAACGCGTTTCCAGTTGCTTGTGTGTGGATTGTTGACATGGTGCGAGTCTGGACTAAAATAGCCTGTTCGTTCAATTTCACGCCTTTGTCATTCACGCCAGTTCATCTGGAGCTTACTGTCTAACGTTAACTACTGCAAAACAAATACACAAACGTTAGTAAACGCGTGTGAGATTCCCCAAACCACAGTGTCATTTTCGGATTTCCCGTGTGTTTGTTTGGAGACAGGAATTGGCCTGGCGTTTTGTTGTTGCTCTGCCCGCATGATTTTTCCCAATGTGTTTATGTTGTTCTTTCCTTTTAAAGCTCTGACTCAGATGTCCAGCGTGGTCGAAGTTTGGCAGGCTGAGGACGCAGACTTCTTCGTGCCATCTCAGGTATGTGAGCTGCTTTTTAAAAAATGACGTCATAAACTGGACGCTTTTATTACAGTGCTACTTCATTGTGAGGCGCGAGCACGTGCGGGACATGGTGCAGTGTGTGCTATTGTTACATTTGCGATGGTGGCGAAATGGAAGGCATTTATTTCAGTTGAAGTTTTCAGGTATGATTCGGTTCGTATTATTGATTCATGCAGGTCTTCCATGAGGAGGGAGAGTGTTTGAGTGTTTATTTAGCTTGGTGAAGTGTATTTGCATGTGGAGGCGGGAACAGGGAGGCATCTTTCTGAGGATGTGGGAACCTGAATGAACCCGGGCAGTCATTTCATTTTTTACATCGTATTACTACGTAATTATCTAATTATGTGTGACTTTAAAAGAGGAACATCTTAAAAACCTTTTAAGACTTTAAGAACGGTTAATATACTTTTTAAGGCTATTAGTGCGTGCCTCAGACGTTATTAGTTTATATATCATAGGGTAACACGTTATGATTCCACTCCACATTTTTTTAAGGCTGTTTTATTAAATATCTCCAAAATACCAAAATAAGGATTAAAGTAATACAA